CATCCCGAGGTATTTTAGAAAATCTCTCGTGAAAGTGAAATTAATTTCTCGTCTCACTATCTCCGTGCGCAATGAATTTCTTGATGTGATAGGTTTAATATTTCTATTATTCGAAATTGGTTTAGTGAGCGCTTTCGTTCTGTAATAAAATGTTTGGGTGAAAAGTTTATCTCATCGTTTCAATGAAGAGAAATACAGTTGATATGGCTGAGTGTACAAATGACCTTTTATAATTAATAATCACTAATAATCCTGTCACATACATTCAGGATGAAATTCCACTAATCTGGCTTGCACATGCATTCAGACGTTAACGAGACCAAAATGTTGGCTGATGAATTATATACGCGTGTATAGTTATATTAGTTAGTGGTAATATCCATCCAGAGTGCCACAAACGGTGGATCATGGGGGATGAATGGCATTGTTAGTACTGGGATGCTTGGATCAAGAACCCCTAGTGCTTCAGTCGATAACAATTCTAGCCCATCCGCACTACTACACTCTTATTCACCTCTTCATCCTCTGGGTGTAATGATATGGAGTGTCGTTTACAATGCAAGTCCAATTATGAGAATTGCTAATGAGGGAGTAGTGGTAACACTCCAATTATGGCTTTTGCGGCAATCGGTTGCGTTCGTTGATGGATTTATTGTTATCGGTTCGGGGATTTATGGAGATGTTGATGATGTTTGAAAGTTCATTGATTATCATCAGGTCGGCGTATAATTCTGAGTACTAAAAATTATCAGTCTCTCTTTAAAATAATTCGTTATGGAAACTTGTCACCGTCTTTGGTCGTTGTTTTTCAGAAGAGGCTTTATTTAATCTATAAAAGCATTTTTTTTCTATTGTTCTCTAAGCTCACCATTCTTCTGGTTGAGGGACACATGTGCTGAACCATTTTGAAGATTATAATGTCATCTTTCAAACGGTTTTTTATTTCCTTTTTTATTTCTCCTGTCTTTATCCGCATTGAAGTTATGAAAAATATTATCGA